TTGTCAATTTGTGTAGTATTATTTAGTTCATATTTTAAAGAATCACTCAGTTGCTTTTTATACAGGTCCCAATTAGTATTATTATAATCATAGAAAGTGGGTTCACGTCTAGTTTCACTTGCATTTATTGTTGTTAGAATTGGTACATGATCTGACGAAAGCTCATTGAGTACAGTAGGTTCACTTAAAATTGATGGTTTATTCGTCAAATACATATCTAATGTTGATGGGCTTGTTTTGTCGTTAAAGGGTATATATGTTGGATCTGGTGGGTATAATAATGCAAATTTGCTTAATAAGTTCATTTAATAAATTTCCCCAGCAATTTGCCCTGCTACAATTCCATGCGCGGTTTCTGCAGTTAAAATCTCCACCAGCTATAAAAGTACCAGTTATTCTTGAGATTTTTAATAGGTCATTTTTAAATAATAAACGGGTTGCATTTTTCTCATTATGTTTAGATTTAGCAATAATATTTTTGTTTGTCAGTTTACCTGAAAAATACATCGAATATATATTTATACTTTCATTTTTATTAAGAAATAATTTAACTCCAATATTTTCAATTAATTTTGTTTCAACGATAGGCAATAATTCATGTTTTAAAGTTTTTAAAATTATTACAGCTACTTCACCTCCTCTATGATCTGTTCTATCATTTCTATAGACATAATAGTTGGGATGATATATATTAATTTTTGATTTGAGCCAAGTTTCACTAACAAGACAAACTTGAATATTTTCTCTTATCAAAAATTCAAATAGTTCTTTTTGTTTACCATGGACTGAACGAGCATTCCAGGTTATTAATTTTATATTATTAGTAATACTACACATGACTATATAAATATTTTATCGATAATTCAGTGATTACTTTAAATTGTTCTTGTTTACTTTTACATTTACTTAGCTTTGCAAGTAATTCATCTGTTAAACTATTTATTTCATCTAGAGTAAATAAGTCTGAATTTTTTTGGGTTTGTAAATAATTCGAATTATTTAAATGGTGTGTTGAAAGATTGTGCCAACTAGAATTACAGGAACTAGAAGGAATATTAATACTAGAATGAGCTTGAGCTTTTGAATTCTTATTTTGTAATTTTGGAAAATTCATATCATAATTCGCATCTAGCGAAAATTGCTGCTTTTTAGCTTTGCCAACGCCTGAGTTTTTATTTTTATTAATTTACAATTTTACTATATGCCTCGCGAAATGGACATATTGGATCACTAGATTTATGGTCTCCTTTACAATTTATACATTTTTTAGAATTTTCATTTTTACAGTCTAGAGTTTTATGATTGCCAGCACAGACGGAGCAATATGTTTGTACGTTACAATAATCAGAGCCATGCCCATACATTTGGCAATTTGTACACTGTGTAACTCTTTTTGAATTATTTACTTTAAACTCCCATCGTACCTTGGTGTAGTTAATAACACTGAAATTTTGTTTTAGCTCTGACATTTTTATTGAATTTTTTTCGAAAAATACAAGATAAAGTGGAATTTCAGTACTAAATTTAGTAAAGGATCTGATTTTTTTAACTTTCAAACAATTTAATTTCAATTCACTGTTTAATATTTCTTTTAATCTATCTTCTCCGATACCATCTAGACCAGATAATATAACTTTAAATGGTTTTTTTTCTTTAAATTCATATGAAAAAAATTCACACTTGTTTTCTTTTAATGCTTTATTTACCACATCGTACGATTCAGATGACTTGCAAAAAATTTTTATGCCTATTGAAATTGTTTTTATAAAATAATCTTTTATAGAGATTTCTTTCATTAAATTATGTACAAAATCAGTCTTAATAATTTTGTTTGCTGATTTCAATAAAGTAATAGGTGGAATTTTTGGTTTTTTTTTTATTTCACCCACAATTACATTATTATTATTTTTGTCAATATTATTTGCATCTGCATTATTACTTGTATTAGAATTTTTAGTGACGTCACATTCCATGTGCGTCTTATTATTATCATTTACATCGTCATTAAAACGTGTTTGTAGAATGGAGTAATAATTATTATTTAATGATGAATCTTTTTCCATAGATTTAATTTTCTTATTGGGTTTGGCCATTTCAAATTCATTGATCGCTGCTTCAGCGACATTTGGAATTGAAGATGTCCTCTTTCGACTTAGTTTGATATTTAATGTTAATTTAAAAACAATAAGAAAAACAATAAAAAATTTTATTTATTACAGTAAGAAATTTATACGATTGTTAACAAAGTATGTGTCCGAATACTGATGATGCTAAAACAATGAACATATAAATTTTTTGGAAAGATCAGGGCTCGAAATCTGATCTGCGGGCCAAATTTACATTTATCACCATATCTACGGAACGAATTGATGGAATTTCTTGAAATTTGATATTTGAGTTCTGGTTGTTACCGAAATCAATTAGCAAGCATTTCAGGGATTTCGGGTAGCACAAAGCGAAACTCTACTAAGAACCAAATTTACATTTTTCTAGGTATGTTAACTATAAGCTTACTAATGTCCTAAAAATTGGAAAGAAGTACTTAACATACATTTTTAAAATATTCTGTAACACTTTCACTTAACTAGACAATACACATTGCGGTCGGTTATGTGCTGACCACATCAGATTTTTTTATGTTATTCTTCCAAAGACAAAGAATGTAAGCGAAAATACAAGATGGTTGCGCCATCGCATTTGGCTTCTATAATATTATATAGATAAACATCGCAGTGTAATAACCGCATCTATATACAATAACAACAACACATGAATCAATTCTAATACGTCACATTCTGATTATCCCGTTAACTATATAACAAAACAATGCCAGTTAATACTAAGTACATTGCGAGTGTTGAGAAACGAGTATTCTGCAACTACGAGGAACCAGTTGAAGTAAAGAATATTGAAATAACAAGTATGTAGTAGAAATAACAAGTATTATAAACATAAATACCACTAAGATAATGTAATTTTGAGTAGTTCTTCACTAAGAAATATTGATATTTATCATAAATATTTCAAAAACTTTAATATAGACACGAATCATTTGTATGATTTTTCTGGTCTGTGTTTACATTAATAATATCACACTTTTTATGATAAATTATCACTATCGCTTAGTGATTCGATACTTGGATATCACTATCGCTTAGTGATTCGATACTTGCCCCACTAAATGAATATCATTTTTACTTGCTTTTTTTACTAGCTTTTCCTTAAGTGTAGCCGTTCTTCGAACAGTAAGCTATACTCAGCTTAAATTTTGTGATTTAAAGCAGTTCAAACAGCAAGTGATGAAAATTAATATGAATTAAAACTTGTAATTTGGATGTTATTGAAAGGATGAAGAAGAAATAAACAAGCAAATAATTATTATTATTATTTTTAATGAATTTTTACGAGTAATAACAATTAATTTTATTATTGTAGGAATTGTACATATACATTAAAAAAATATTTTAATTAGAACACTTACGAGTACAACACTAAAAATATTTATGTAAAATTATAAATTTATGCAATTTTGATAAATTTGATATGAATTTAAGTCACCTTTTCCCAATATAGTAATATGTATTTTCTATATCATAACTTTTATATGAATGAAGTTGGGTCAAACCAATGGTTTGTATTGTAGCACTTTTCCCCTCAACAAGTGAAAATTCTGCTTTTAAATACAGTCTATGTATAGCCATCACACTATTAAAATTATTTTCATTCATATACAAAACTATTTCTAGGATTGCATATATTTAGGATGACGCATATATGCAGTCTTTGAAATAAAGCAAAAATTAATATAAAAAGGGGTTAACATAATGCTCGATTTTAAGGGTTAATTGTGTGAGTTAAGAAAAATAATTATATTTTTTAATTTCACGGAATTTACCGTTAGCTTTTTGCGTTTATAAAAATTTGGAAAAGCTTGCGGTTTCGGAAATATAAGGTGTCAAAAATTCAAATTTTACGAATTTCAAGAGGTGATAACTTGAGAGGGGGTGGAGATGGAAAAAAATTTTCTTCTAACAAAATAAACTATTTATTAATATCTAAAAGCTCCTAAAATTTCAAGCTTCTACAGTCTGGGGTCTAGAAGAAAAACGACATCAAAAATTTGGAAAAAAAGGACTTTAAATAACGGTAAATTTGAGCGGCCATTTTGTTTTTCTTAAGTTGAACTATAGTATACCGCGCAAAGGGAAGCAAACCACTGCCTTTCTGCGTTTGCAAAATTTCAAAAATGCTTATGGTTTCATTGCAACAAATAGTTAAAAAAAGGCCAATTTTAGGGTTTTGGGGGGGTATAACTTCTAGAGGGGGAGAGATAGGTAAAAATTTTGTTCTACGGAAATAAGTTTCTAGTGAAGATCTATATAAGTATTAAATTTCAGCTTTCTATCTTCAACGGTGTAGAAGTTTTGTAAACAGACACACGGACAGACGGACGGACGGACGGACAGAGTGAAACTAATAAGCACTTTTTTCAAAAAATTTTTTGGAAAAGTGCTAAAAACGAAATAATTAGTACACATATAACTTTAATATGTATAATATTTACAAATTATAATATGCTCATTCATATTTAAATACTTAGATACCTTTAAATTTATGTGAAAAAATAAAGTATTACAGCGCAATTGTGGGATGTTTGATTTTAATATAAATAAACGCCGATTTTCCTTATAACAATTCCAATAATCTTAAGAAAGAGGGGAAAATAAAAAATTAAGTAGTTTTATAAATTATAGATAATAATATTTATTGGTGTTAATATGAATATAGTATAAAAAAGATGTAAGTATTATTAATACTTAAAACCAATAATTTTTATAAGTATTTAATGATTGCTATTAAATTTAATTTAAATGTGAATATATTTTCATTTAAAAAAATGAAAATATAAAAATGTTCTTAGTAAATAAATAACATCAGGTCATTTCGGAGTGTTCGATCGCAATAACAAATAATAATTCAAATCAAAAAACAAACAAAAAATGATTGAAGATTTGCCCTTGATTTCTATTAATATTCGCATTTATAAATTTTGGTCATTTCTTTTAGGCAACACATGGCGTAGATACCTGTGTTATATGCTCTGTTTTACACTAAATATTGCACAGCTCTTTGATATGTTTATGACATCTGAAGCTATTGAAGTAAAAATTCGTTATGCTTACGGTTTTGGGCTGTGGTTTGACACGAATTTAAGAGGTATTATGCTTGGAGCTAGAAGATTCGCCCATGAGAACTTTTTTAAACAGCTGGAGACATTGTACCTTGAAATTAAAGTAAGATTATTGCAAATTCATGGTAAAATTTATTCAGACGTATTACAATTGAACTTAAAAGAACAATGCAACGGATTCAAATATTATAAAACTTCTGGATGATACTACTAGTTTTAGTAGAAAACTTTCAATTATTAACTTAATGATGGGAAGTATTGTAGTATGTGGTTTTAATTTGTATCCATTTTTATTAGATGAGAGAGGTAATTACATATGTACTTATATTAAAATTTATTATTTTACATTTAAATAAACTTTTATTTTATAGCCTTACCGTATTCATTTTATTTACCATATTTTAACAAATTAGCAACTCCATACTATGAAATTATTTATGTTTACATGACACTTATTACTCCTATAGGATGTATGACTTACATTCCATATTCAAGTTTAATCGTTTCCTCTCTTTTATTTGGAATATTAATGTGCAAAATCTTACAGTATAGACTGTTAAATTTGCATGGTGAACTAAATTCTGAAAAGGAATTAATGGATAAAGTGGTTTGGTGTGTGCAGTACCAATTAAAATTGATTGAGTAAGTAATTTTAATATGTTTTTGCAGTTTAAATTACGTTGTATTTAAATAATGTGCAAACATTCAATTAAAAAATTATTATCTAGGTAGACACTTCAAATTTTTTATTTGGGAAAATATATCAAAATTTTTTTATTTTGTAACAACGAAATTCAGTCAGACATAAGACATTGCGCCTAATTAGGCCTCATATATGTCGCACTCCAACTGAGTGAATTAAAACTTTTTAAAAATGAAAATACACATATGTATGTATGCAATTTATAAAATAGATTAAAATCTCATAATTTTGTTTTACAAAATATTTCAATCCCTTTTATTTTCGATATTTCAGCATTTTAAAAATTGAATTTAGTAAAATATTTTGCAAAGTTTTATGATTAGGTTTAATAAAATTATGTTAATAAAACATTATTATTTCTGCTTGCAAAGCTCAGGATAATCTTTCTTAATTAAGTCTAGAATTATTCCTAACATATGTACATGAAAGTTATTCTTAGCGGAAAATAAACGTTTTCCGTAAATGAACTATTATTAATTTTTGATGGCTTTCCCAACTCGCAGCCAAATATCTCGACAGTTCTTATTCCATCACATGATTTATTTGGTCAATTAAAGATGAAATTGCCGCATCTTATAAATATTCAAGTAAACTTATAAGTCCAGTGGATCTTGGGATATCTTGAATCTGTATGAAAATTCAAGGGAGACAAAATTATGACAAAAATAATTTTTTTTTATTTTTTCTCTTTTAATATAAAGATGATTCTGAAGGAATATAAAGAAAATAAACAAAAAACAAAAAAAAATACGCAGAATTCTTTCTAGTTAATGAAATAAAATTAAGTACACAAACACACAATGAATATGGTGAACCGTATTTAAAGCCATCTATGAACCTATGGATCAAAATTGATTAAGCTAAGTATATTAAAAAGAAATACATTATCATGTGTTAATGAAAAGCTATTAAGTTATCAACAAAATTTTCATTCGGAAGAGAAGAAATTTTAAGCAATGGTCCTCATATCGTTAGGCTCATTGCACGTATGATAATCTTACGTGTTTGTTTATATTTTAGGAACATAAAAGAAGCTTTAAAAAAATTATGAACATCATTTTCACTTTCTTAGTATATTCAAGAAGGCGACACCTATGCGGGCAATAAGTATAGATAAACAACCTTAACTTTTTCCATACTTTTTTTTATTAATAATTTTTGGTTTAGTTGAAATTAATGAAATACAAGTCTTCGGAAATGCAAGTAACTTCGGAAGGTCTTGCTAGAACACCAAATATTTTGTCGTTCAGTGAAACTTTATTATCCTCTTCTCCACCTCCACGCGATCGTAATGGCATAGATTTTCATCTTCGTTCAACTGCATCGTTTTTTCTAAATTTTTGACCACATACATATTTATCTATAATTACCTTCTTTATCTTAACCGTTTACCTAAGAAATATATGTTTAAGTGGTTATGCAAAAAATGTGTATATATGTATGTATGAATACTCCGCATCTGCAAAAAAATATATAAATTTTTTATTTTCAGAAAAAAATTGTTTAAAAAAATTGATTTGTTTGAACGTTATTTCTCAAATTTCAACTTGTTGTCTTTTTAAAATTTGGCAAAAAAAAGTAAACAGTTAAACCTTGTGCTAGCAACGCAAAATTCTAAACTATTATTTACTCTAATGAACCTGACCATTGGTGCAGTGGTTACGGGCATTTAACCGAAGGGTCTTGGCTTCAAACCCCGGCCAGGTCATTATAAAAATTATGTTTAATATTATAACTTAATATACAATACTAATAAATATTATACAAGTAATTTTCAAATATTCATAATATTCGATATTAAAAACTAAGAAAAATAAACAGTAAATATTAATATACTTAAATATTTAATACAAATGAAACTACGGCTGGCTAGTCACCTACCTAGTTAACTCTATGACGCTATGAAAATAGGGCATTATATCATGCACTAGCAATATGTTCCTCCTAGGAGTGAAAACGGAAAAAAAAATTACTCTAATGAACAACATTAATTACAAATACATAATTTAATAACAAATACATAAATTAATTGCTATGGCATTAATTAGCACTTAACATTGATTACCCACATTATTTCTCTTTCATAAAGTGCAGGAACTTAATATTCTTCTTTTAAAATATTACAATTTTATTTTTTTTTCGTTTCAGTTATATTCAGCACTTTAATAAACTAATATCGTACTTATTTTTAATTGAGTTCATCATTTTTGGAGCCATTCTGTGTGCCTTGTTATTTATGTTCTTAATCGTAATTATTAATTCTTTTTTTCTTCACATTCTATATAGAAATTTTTCTTTCAAAATGTAAATAAAAGTGAAATTTTCTTTTCTTATAGAAATTGGGTTTGCTTACTTAATTAAAATTTATTTATATAAAGAAAATATATAATTGAATAATTAAAATAATAAATTGAATACATATACTAATTTAAATTGTACAATATGTATATTTAATTGAGAAGAAACCAAAACAACAATACTACACTTTCCTTAGCAAAATATATTTACATAATAATAATTTGTTTTAGGTTAACGATGTACCACAAACATTAATTGTTTCTACCTACATTTTAATGATATTTGGGCAAATAGCTTCATTTTCATGGTTTGCTAACGAACTGTATGAGGAGGTAAATATGTATTTTAAATTTTTAAATTTAAAATATTTTAAAATTTAATTTGTAAAAAGTTTTTATCAACTTTTGATTTGCAGAGCTTAAAAATTGCCTATGCGGCTTACTCTACCGATTGGATACATTATTCGTCAGCTTTCAAAAAATCAATACTTTTACTAATTTTGAGATCGCATAAACCACTAGCTGTAAGAATAATTATTTAAAAATTATACACAAACATTAATATAATTAAATAAATTTATCATCATTTTTTATTCGTTTGTAAAAGGTATCGTACTCATACAGCTTTATTAGTATACTTTATTTCTTTATTGATCAATTTTACGTTAATATTATACTTTATGTCATAAATAAGCATTCAATTATTTGCAAATTCTTTAATTTCTCTCATTAAGATATAAAAATGAAGAGTATATACTCGTAATACAATTTCCTTTACCCTAAGTCATGCTTTTATGTAAATGTATTTATATTCTCAAAAACAAGGTTCAATATATAAAGTTAATAGATTTTTATTACTCGTATATAACGTAGAAAGATATTCTTCATGTATGCAACTCTAGAAAACATGATTTCTTTTTAATGGTACACATCCCATTTAAACTTTTTATGAATTAATCATTATTAAATCCTAATTTCGAACGCGCTAACTTTCTTTGAATTTCTTAATTTAGATATTTTGTATACAAATTGATCTTGATAAAAACATTACTATAGTAACAAAAGTTTTCTCGAATTTTAGAAGATTTCTTTGTTTTAAAATTTTAATTAAAATTTTAAAAACGAGAAACATTTAAATTGGTGACTCGAACAAATTACATATCCAGCCAATAAATATTTTTAAATATTTTATCTATAGTAGCTTAAAGTATCATTAGATCAACTGTAGATTTCTTAAGAATTTGAATTTTTCACATGACCTTTTAAAAATTCACTTTTAAAATTGTATTTTTAATGTTTTTTCAGATGAAAATTGGAAACGTTTTTGATCTTAACTTGACACAGTTTCAATCGTTAATGAATACCACATATTCAGCTTTTACATTACTTAGGCGTTTTTACTAAAATAAAGAGTGAAGAAAAAGGCTATAATTACAATAAAAACTTAAAATAGCGCTGGCAACAAAAGCACTAAAAAAGACTAGAACTTGTTAAGCACCTGGAATAAAAAATAAAAACAGCGTTTTTATGTCAATTAACACTATAAATTTTCTATTATGTATTTTAAAAGGTATTAATTCTGAGCTCACGACAGTTCTATTAAATAGTTTCGAACTTTTTTGCATTCATTGGAAAAATTTTAAAACAACTAGAACGAGTAAAAAATATATAAGCTATTCATTGTCAAGGGTTTCAACGGCATATTATCGTTAAGAATAATAAGCTCTAAAAAAAAAGTTATTTTGCAGCAGTTCGGGCTCGGTAATTATTATATTACAACAAATCTGTAGGTTTCTTGGTTAACTCTAAAATAACAAAAACAGAATGTTAGGTCAATGATAAACTTTCCTAAAATTACTACTTTATAACCCTCTTCTTACATACAATAAAACGAAAAGTGTGTTAATTACACAAAATTAAAAATATATCAAAATATATTAATTTGTAATATAAATGTGTGTATTTAACCGATTTAAATAATTCAATATAAATGTGTAAACTTAACCAATTTAAATAATACATGTGTACACAAAGTACTAGTTTTTTTTTCCTTCTTCACTCCTAGGAGGAGCCCCTAAGTGTTCGGGAACTGTTGTCAAATTCCCTTAGGGATATCTCCGGCTTTGTGGTTGGGACGGGGATATTATAGGCGGCAGCGTGGGGAGGCTACAATAAGTCAAGAATGCCTGCGGTGGCTTGGGGGGTTACTCCTGTCCCACTCGGTTTCCTTAAAATCTACAAATCTACTCCTAGGAGGAGCATAGAGCTAATGCATGACATCTTAGATAGTCATACCCCAGTTTCATTGCGTCATAAAGTTTTAACTAATTAAGTGACCATTTAAGATTATTAATTTGTTTATTTTTCTTAGTTTCGATTATTACATATGATACATATATGAAAATTACTTGTATACTAAGTTGCTATATTTAATAACTATGTATATTAAGCTATAATGTTGAATATAATTTTTATAGTCAATGTGGGTAATATAATTTACTTGACCGGGATTTGCACCCGAGCCCCTTCGGTTAAAGGACCGGTACCATAACCACTACTCCAACGGTCAGGTTACACAAAGCTTTAGTGCTCACTTACTACTTATGTCTATTCGTTTTTCGTAAACCTGTTGCTGAAGTGTTTTTAATATATAATACAATACCTATGTATGTTTGTATTTCAAAACGTCAGCAAATTACAAATGTGACGGTAGGTATATCTGTTATAAAACTTAAAAAGAGCAGTGTGACGTCTTTTCTCTCAAAGAAAAAAAAACCTGATTTCAAAAAAGAAAAAAAACCAAACTGAGAAAACTTTTAAAAGCTTTATAAAATATGTAATAAACGTCAAATTTCAAAATATTTATCAAACATAAACAGTACATAAATTTTACTTTAAAAACTAAACTAACTTTATAATTTTCTCATTTTTTCTCAAAAAGTATTATTCCATACGCTTTGCATATTAAATATTAAGTTAAAAATAAAGTTTTCAAAAACTTTCTTATACCAAGCAGACCTAGTATAATGTAAATCTAACGATATTTTTATACGCGCTTTAACAGTGTAAATATTGTATACATAACATTTAAGGGAAATCGTAGCGAATGCAAGTTCATATCATATGTATCACCCAAGCGAATTTTAAAACACAAACATCAAGTGAAACTGTGACACTCTATCAATATGTAAAAAAAACCAACTTACCGCTAGAGGCCTTTGTGATCGCAAGATTAACATACGCAATGTCATTTTGACCCTAGAAGAATAATTATACCAATAACAATTATATGCTGCGCCACTCTTTGCAAAATCCTTAAAACGGAGTAATAGAAATACATTAAATGCGTAATACAAAAGGTATTTTGAAAGATTAAAGCAATTTAAAATTTAATTATACAAAAAATTAATTTAATTAAGCTGAACTAACTTTCAAATTATTAAAACAATTTTTCAGTAAATTACTGAATTCAAAATAATGAAAACACAATTTAATTTAAAAGTTGCAATAGCTAAGTTGCGCATAATTTTGCTGAAATTTTGAAGTCACGAGATTTTTTTAAAGCAGATATTATTGTTAGATATAAAAGTTTAAGGAAAAAATCGATATCTCTTATCTCACAAAAGCAAAACATTAAGAAAATTACAAAGTAAAATAAAAATATAATAATGAGACGCTAAAATATTTAAAAATGTCCAATCTTACCTCGTCATACAACTCATTAGCAAACCAAGCAAATGCTGAAATTTGTGATAACACTGCAATGATATAAACAGAAACGATTACAACATTAGCAAAATCGCTTATCTAAAATCAAATTTATGAATCATCTAAATCTAAAATGAATTATCTAAAATCAAACATGTTAATCAGAGCCAAAGAAAGGAATACAGTTGCCATTAAAAACGGTAAAGCGCATAAAATTATTCCATACATTGCAAATTCGATTAAAAACAAAATAGAAATTAAAATGTTGAATTCCTTGATATATGTACCTATAAAACTAAATATAAAATATTGAGCCAACGAAAGAAAGAATTACTTACTTTATCAATTTTTATTTAATATGATATGCCCCAAACAATTCTAGAATCCTCTTTTAGATAAATTCAGAATCGTGTTTTAGATAAAGTAACTGTAGTCGAAATTGCAAGAAACGGAACATTGTAGTTCCAAGCATCATAGATATTACAAATATATTTGACAAAGGTATATATATATATAAAAGACAACCAACTGGTGCAGTAGCCATTTATAAAGCATATTTAACTTAAAAAAAAAGAGACTCCAATTTATTTATACCGGGACAATAGAAATCATAGGGGTGTTCTACATTTTCAACAAAATAAGACAAGAGATAAATGTCAATATTTTATTTTACGAGTATATTGATCTCTAACTATTATCTGTAATTTTCTTATTGTGCTAACTTTATAAAAATATTTGCAATCAAAGATTATAAACTTAAACTGCCTTGTATTTTATGTATACAAAACATTACAATAATTACCCTTAATATCAGAAAAAACTGGTCCTGAGGTGAATTTTGCAAATGTAAAAATACCAAAAGTCAAACTAAAATAATTCCATTTCTTTGCAAGCCCTTTAGTATTAGTCAAAATTTTAATCATTCCAAAGTCTCTAGAACGCTAAACAAACTTTACTAAATATTCATTAAAAAAATCAGTAATTACACAATTTGAATACTCACAAAATAATATCATTAGAATATCCTTCAATTATTTGAAAAAAATCAAAAAGCTTTGCTTTCTAAAATAAAATATCCAAACTCTTACGACAACTTTAAACCATAAGGTGACTATAAATGTTTCATCTGTTCCTTTTTCCAAAAATAAGTCAAAAATTTGTATATTTGGCTACGTAGGTACGCCAAATATTCTTATGTAGTCATTGCTTATAAAACCATTAAACTATCAGTTATCGGTACATCATAAATCATTTTTGTTTCTGTTTTCCTATAAATCGAATAACGCACTTCAAGTCTGTTGAAATTGATCAACGAATAAAACACTAAAATTTTAATTCAGGTTCTTTTTAATTATAAATAACTAATTCTTGCTTAGTTAGGTTTCAATGAATAGAAAATATTATTAAAAAATTTATTACTTCAAACACCAATTTTAAATTTAAGTAGTTTATTCAAAGTTAAAAGTTTTCTTTGACTACCATTGACTAGTACATGTATGTATGATATTATTTATTTACTGTTACCCATACATATATGAGAATTATTTATTACAATAATTCCCATACCGTCGTATTATTAAAGAGTCACGAAACTGCTTCTTTTGTGTTTTGAGAAAAACGCATTTTAAAATATACACAATAATGTCAATTTGCAGATATGTTTTAAATTTACAACATTATTTTTCCGAAACTACTAACGTTAGAGTTACGTGAGTTTTGTATAAAGATAGTTTAAAAAATTCTAAATTTGTCTGTATATATATAACTCAAAATTCACAAAAAAGCGGTTTTGTAACTCTTCCATAATACCAACGATGTAAGAGCAACTATTTTTATGGGTGATTCTTTAATCAATTAAGATTCTTTAATCAAAGTTCGTTATTATATACTATATTAGGCTTTTATTATTAAAGCTAATGACTATAACTTCTAAGTTTATTTTAACTACAATTAAATAACTAACCAATACCGAAGAAAAATGTATTATTGTATAAATATGAGAAGATTTGTTTGCACATTTTGGAATTTATTTATAACAAGATTTACTGTTCATAATGTTTAAGCCCAAATTTAAAATTTTACATACAAATTTCTTTCTTCTTTTCATTCTGAATCATTTTTTTTAAAGCTGTTTTAATAAACTTAACTACCTAATACCCAAATTTATATCAAAAATAGAAAGAAAAGTATGAGGAAGAAATTTCTTAAATGTCCACGGAATAAATCAAATCTAAAGATATATGTACACGTTTTCATAGTATTAAAATTTAATTTACAAAAACGTACATACCTACGTAGTAGAAATTTTTATTCAACATGAAGATTTATGACGTCAATAACACAATTTCAACAAAAAGCGAGCCTTTTTGCTTACTGAAGAAAAACTGTTTTTAAGCATGAAAAATCAAAAGAACATTGAACAGCTAATAGAAAAAAATACTTATATAACCAAACTGAAAAATTATTTTTACTAATTGAGCTGGTTTTTTTGAAAATAGTATAAGTCCATTTTTTCATATATTGAGATATTTAAGGTTTTGCATTTAAATCAATTAAAAAATATTGGCCATAATAACATATTTTGTTTGTTTTATGTTTAAGCAGAACTGTATCGAAATTACGATTGTAATTGTGGAGACAAGAGGTCTATAGCTCATCAAAATCACCATTAACTTAGTCTTTTTAAAAAATGGACT